CAGCCTGGTGTGCAACCACCAGGCGTGCACCCAGGTCATGGAGTGATCCCAGGTCATGGAGTGATCCCTGGAGGACCTATCCCCCCTCCACCTATTATTGGTCTCGGACCTCCTGGATTCATTCCTCAGGGAGTTACAGAGCCTCCCGTTGTTCCCATCTATGAAGGTTCTCCTCAGCCACACGAATATACTCCTTTCATACCCGATGAACCTCAATGGGGCAGGCAGGGGCCGGGCATGCCAGAACCTCATCATTACCCTCCAGATGCGCGAGGACCAGTAATCCCTGACACTTACGGTGGTTATCCCCAACCTCGTGATCAGTACGAGCACCGCCTTGACGATGAAGATGAAGGAGTTATTCCCACGAGTCCTGGGTCTAGCGAACCTGTATTCGTGCCAGCACCTACGATCATCGTTCAACAAAGTGAGGATGAAGAGAGTGACGATAGCACGGCTACTCAACAGACCTATACTCATCCCGATTCACACCATGTACAGCACCCTCCAGAGAGTCCAATGTTACCCATGGCGCCAGGTTATCAACAAGATATCCCTACTGTCGTACATTCCGATGAGCATACGCACAGCCATGGGGGCTCTCCGCCTCAGAATATCAATATCAATATGCCTCCACAATTCGCTCCAGGCCCCCAAGAAGATATGGCAGATCAGCCTGCGCCAATGCAACCATATGAACCGGCACCAATGCAACCCTTACCATATGGACCCGGGATACCACCGCCACCCGTGATTGCAGGGCCTGATTCCGGACGCGTGATAATCCATCCTCCCCAACAAATGTTCGAGCAGCCCAGGCCTGAGAGGTCTAGGTCTAGGTCCAGTTCCAGGAGAGGCGAAGTGGTTATACAACGAAGCCCTCCTCACCATTCGCCTGGCCCTGCCATATTATCATCGCCGGCTGGCGAACATGTCGGCAGACCTCCCACTCGCCAAGAATTTGTTGTTACTCCTTCGGGCAGCGGCCCTGGCGGGCCAGTTGTGGTCACGGTACCTGCTAGCCGGGGATACGTTTCGCGTTCACGATCTCGGTCTCGTTCACCTCGTGGACATTACCGTGACAGATATCCATACGACGATCCTCGTTATCGGCGAGGTCGACATCCTGACTCTCCTGATTATCATTACCCAAGACGTTGGGATGACCGTCGACGCTACTCACCTGAATATCGCTACCGTCCTTATTATGATGACTACTCTCCCGAGGGTCGCCGTCGACGGAGAGGGCCGCGTGATGATTACTCGCGATCGCCATCACCAGGACGAGGCGAGAGACATAGAAGTGATGACCGCCGCCGCCGCCGTCACGGACACGCCGATTCAGCCTCTCCCGCACGTTCAGAAGAAAGAGAGCGACGCAGCAGAGACGATCACACCCCTCGTCGCGGACGGTCGAGTGACGAAGAACGTCCCCACAGCAGACGTCCTAGTTATGACGAAGGCGATCGCCCGCGGACTCACAGAACCCCCACTGAACTTACAGAAGCGGATGCACCTGGTCATGGCCATCGCACACCTAGTCATGTCCATCGCACGCCTACTCCTGGCCATCATACACCTACTCTTGGACATCGTACACCTACTCCTGGCCATCATACACCTACTCTTGGACATCGCACACCTACTCATGGTCGTCATACACCTACTTATAGCGTCCCTGATTCTCCACGGCTTGAGGATCCTCCGCGGTCACCAACTGTCATCAGAATTGATCAACCAGAGCAACCACACCATGAATCACACGCCGGTCGACCAGTAATAATAACTCCGGCAGCACCTCGCCCGTTCTCATCAGGTGCGTGGGTTACTGTAGGCATGGACTCACTCTGACAAACCTTCCAGAACGACATCCGACGAGCCCCATCAGTCAACTTCAACACGAACTGCGTCATGCCCCCGATGTATACATTCCAACCGTGCATTCACATCTACCTTCTGTAAGGGACGACTATGTACCGTCGCGCCGTCGAACACCTTCAGTGATGGAACGTGACGAAGGATCACGCCATCGATCACCTTCTGCAAGAGATGATGACGGACGGCCGCGCCATTCTGCAAGGGATGATGACAGACGGTCACACCATCGATCACCTTCTGCAAGGGATGATGACGGACGGCCGCGCCATCGATCACCTTCTGCAAGGGATGATGACAGACGGTCACACCATCGATCACCTTCTGTAAGGGATGATGACAGACGGTCACACCATCGATCACCTTCTGCAAGGGATGATGACATACGGTCACACCATCGATCGCCCTCTGCAAGGTATGACGAACCTGACCCATATGGACGTCGCGATGATCCACGATTTCCGGTTGACCCACATGTACATCGCGCTCCTTCGCAAGTTCCGCATGACGAACCTGACCCTCGTGAACAACGCGCCGCTTTGCGAGTTCTGGATGACCAAGATGAACCCCACAGAGGTCACACTACTTCACAAGGTTTGGATGACCCCCACAGACATGACTTCCACGGACGTCACACTGCTCCACAAGTTCTGCGTGACGAAGATGACCTCCATGGACATCATACTGTTTCAGGATTTCCAGATGACGAAGCTAGACATGGCGCCGTTTCACGGGGTCCATCACGCACAGAATCACACGTAGGAAGTATGCCAGCTACTATTCTGGAAGGTGATGGCGGCCGACATCCGAGCGAGATGGTCCATATCCCACCACCAACTGGCCATGTCCCCCCGCCAAGTCATGATCCTCATGTGCACTTTGACCCAACTGGATTTGATGACGCCATTAATCAGCGGCACGAACGACTGGAAGAAGCAGAACGCGAACTCAACCAGGTCGTTCAGGACGCTCATGCAGCTGAAAACCATCGTGAAGAAGAGTTCCGAAACAATGAAGAAGCAAGAGAGCATTTGTTCCTCCAAAACGAAGATCGGCGTGAGGCTGAGGCAAGACAGCGCAGTGACAATCTATTTGCTCAACTAGAAGAGAGGGCGCACAGTGTACCTCCTCTACCAGTCCCTCCTCCATCTGGATCTGATGATAATGCTTCCATCATTGAATCGATTCACGCAGCTTCTCATGAGGCGGCTTCTCGCCATGCTTCTGAGATTTTGGAGACGGTTCGACTTGAGCGCGAGCAGTTTGCTCGCGAGAGAGAGTCTTTTGCATCTGAGAGGGATCAGGAACGTGCTGAATTTGCGGCCGATCGTGCTCGCATGGATGAAGAGCGCGAACGAAGGGTTCAAGACCTGGAAGAGGAGCTCGCACGCGTTCGTGGGGAGCTTGATGGCGAAAGGCAGCTACGACAGACTGAAAATGAAGAACGAGCAGCTGCCAATGAACGTGACGAAGCCATGCGCGCGCAATTGGGCGATATCACACAGTTGGTTTCGGAGCAACGCGATGAGTGTACCAGGAAGAGGGAGCTCATGGATCAGCGGTGGGAAGAAAAGCAGGGCAGGCGTGCTGAGAAAGATGCGCAATTCCATGAACTGAAGGATATGGTCTCCAGGCTCATTCAAGACCGTGAGGCGGATCGAATTCAAGAGGAAGAACGCAGGCTACGGGAGGAGGGTAAGCCGGATATCCAAGTGGTGCTCGATGAACTCACCCGGCAAAATAACGAAATGCGAGAGGCGCTTCGGGCTCTTTCTGAGGGTATGTCTTGGGTGTGTCTTTGAGTAGTGCTTCGCTGATTTCATTCCTTATGGCAGACTGGCGCGCTGAAGGTGAGCGGCGGCATGAAGACACCCTTGAAGCTGTCCGTGCTACTGCCCGGGAGCAAGTTCCGTTCAATGTGCAAGTGGTGAGTGCCTGCGAACCATATATATATATATTCAAAAAATAAGCTCATACGGAACCATTTCTAGTATCTTGACGAATTTAGCAAAGCGCTCGCGACTGAGGTCCGGATGCTCCTTGGAGAAGTTGGCAAGCTTCGCGAAGAACGCCGTAATATCCAACAGTGAGTTCTTGCTTGAATACATTGTTCGTGTGTCTGAACATCCGTCTCTTTCAGTGAACTTGGATACCTGATGATGATGAAAGCTAAATACGGGCCAGGAGGGGAGTTTGATCCTGAGTGGTAAGATGTCTTAACCATTAACTTGAGCCGTTCTCATCTTTTTTGATAGGAAACCGCCGATGCCTGGCCCTGGTGCGCCTGATCCACCGCCACCGCCCGAGGCACCTCCCCCGCCTCCTGATGAACATGGGCCTTCTCGTCCAGCATGGCGCACACTCCGCAACACGAGGCGCTCTCGCAAGCCACGTCCCGACCAGCCACCGCCCCCTGAACCTGGTCCTGCACCTATGAGGCAGCCTGTGCATTCCTGGGTTACCTGGCATCGTGAGTAGTTTCATTGCATCATTTAAGAAGGTAAATTGACGCCATGGATACTAGCAAACCCTGCGCTGGCACCTACGCCGCCGTCGATTGAGCCTAACCTGATTGTACCTGACCAAGGCAGTCCTGGTCTCTTCGGACCTCGCTCGCCACGCAGCTATCGGTAAAGACTCATTGCCTCATCACAAAATAGAGCCCAGGAACCATATTCTACGCATTATATCTTATGACAGTCTTGATGACATCTAACGAGTATATTTTTCCCCTATCTTTATCTTGCTCTTCATTTATCCTCCCCGTATCTACTACTCGCATCTGCTTTGATTTTTTTGTCCATGTTCTGCTCTTGGTTGTGCTGTATATTTTATGATCTCATCGTATAGCTTCTTTGGAGCTGGACTCACGTTCTATCAAATTTGCAAATGGATGCACACTTTTCACTGTCGAACTGCAAGTCATAGGTTTTGGCTGATGAGTCGTGGCTATGCGAAGGAAGATGTAAGTATGAATGTGATACTGGTGCTCAGTGAAAAATGCAAGTAATAAGTACTAGTTGTCCACGATTGACTGGCAATCATCGGGCGAACATGAGGTTTTAAAGCCCCTGCTGCTGAGGGTGCTCCTAGTAATAAGGACGACGGTGCGACCACAGGGGGCGTCACTGGGCTGCTTCTCGGGAGATGGCGCCCTCTAGCACCAACTTCAACTTAGCTGCGAGTCCCTCTGTAAGAAGAGTCGGGCCATCAGAAGTGCAAAGGCGATAAGATGGCATGGACTGGTACGTGTCGGGAAGAATCTTCCAAGGACCTGATGAGTAATACTAAGCAGAACGCATCAAAGCTCACTTTGCTATCCTGCACTAATACAGAGGCGATGATATCATCGGGGTCGCCTATTCTGCCTAGGGCTGGGAGGTTGCGGTTGTCTACGACATTGTTCTTGGTTCTAACCGAACGTAAGCAAAGTGGGAGCGTCACATACCGTGTATATGCATCCAGCCTTGTTGTAATTGCAGTGCAGCGTTGATCCAAATATCGTCCACTTTTTCCTGTAGCCCGGTTTGGATTGCCTCGTGCATGATTACGCGAAACTTGGCTATGCAAACAGTCAGTGGGTATGCGAATCAATAGAAATGATTTACTGCAAAAATCATACGGTTCTCTACGAAATCATTTAACCCGGCTTCTGCGTCTGCTTTTCCTGCAGTCTCTGCGGGCAACCATCCCACGACAGAGCATGAATCGGGAGTCGGTGGTGGTTGAGTGAGGAAGGAAACTGCATAGGCTGAGCCTACCATTGGAAGCGAAACGGGGTGGTAAAAGAGGTCAGGCCGAGATGGGTCCGATATTACTGAATTGGAGGTTGAGTAGCGCGCGAAGAGAGTATGCGTGCGACTGGTTGGAGACGCAACTCGGGAAGCCGTGTGCGCTGAGAGGAGACGGACGAATGTGAAAAGGCTAAAGGACCTTCTACACAGCAGCGAGCTGGATGGTCGTATCATGCACATAGTGAGCCGTGTCGCCGCGTTAGTCGATGCCCGTAGCATGTTAGGCGGTGTCTGCTGAGCCGCGAGGATATAAGCACCAACTTGACGTTCGCGAAGCAGTCATGGCCGGTAATCGCCGATTTTGAATTGCGTCACGTCATCCGCAACCGGACACGACGTAGCCGTGAGACTGTATTGAGTAAGCAGCTGTACAGTACCATCAAGCCCCACCATAGTACCCCACGCTTCCAAGGTGTTCTCCTCAGACACTTCCATCATCAAACAGGTGTGTTACCATCTAGTTTCTATTGTTGCGTGTCGATCTAACCTTTGTGTATCGCCAGGATGAGAGACAAGTGGAAGAAAAAGCGTTCCCGTAGGCTCAGACGCAAACGCAGAAAGATGAGAGCCCGTTCCAGTTCGTATTCATTACATATATTTTCCGTCATCTTCTCACCAGACCAATTTAACAGAGTAAACGACTAAGCAGAGTGAGCCTGTGACGCTAAGGCCTCAACAAAATCTGCGGTGCGCTAACGCCGGGCAGGTCTTGCCCCGTCCCCCTCCGCGCGCTAAATATATTTGGAGTGGGATGGATTCTTCTCAGCTGGACATGCTGCTGGGGGTGCTGCTGGTCGTGAATTGTACTCTTGACAAATGAATCAAATATCGCCTTGTCCCATTCGTTTTGCATGCTCTTGTTGTATATTGTATTGTGGTCACAGTCGAGCATGAATTTTGTGAACCGAAATAGCCCCGACTATAGTTGCTAAGTATACGCGACGCGTCTTGCGAAATTGTATCTCCGAAGTCTCATCCGAACGTTGAACACCGATATACCAACTATCTCCTATCGTCACTAGCCACAGAGTATCCCTGCACCTTTGTCTTCATAAAGACCAAGAACCAATTCTCGAATTGACAATGAGACGTGCCAATACATCTACTTCTACTCCCAAGATCATTCTCAAACCGCGCCTCGCCCAAACGCCAGCTACGCCTTCTGTCGTTGATGAAGATGACGCCGACGACTCTGTTGAAGAAGGCGAACTCCAGACCAAGAGAGAGGATTCAGAGGGCGTGCTTGACGAAGATGAGCCCGGCGATGAGGAACCCGATGAAGGTGCAGTCGAGGGTGAAGGAGATGAAGGCGAAGGCAGCGGAGCGGAGGAGGTTGAGCCTGAGGGTGTGGAGCCACGACCGTTCCCTCGCCCACGGGGACGCCCGCGTGGAAGAGGGCGAGGTGCAGCCCCCACTGGTCCCGGTCGTGGGCGAGGACGTGGGAGAGGGCGGGGGCGGGGACGAGGGCGGGGTCGTGGGTCTTTGACTATTCGACTGCCAAAGCGCGACGGCGAAGATGCTGACGACGCTGAAGCCGAGGAAGGGGAGCAAGATGGTCGACCATTCATGCGGGTAGGAGGAAAGGTATACTTTATTGACGGCGATGAGTTTGTCACAGACCCGGACGAGAAAGGTGACGAGAAGGTTGATGCTGATGGCAATCTTCTCGGAGGTGTGTGCTACCTTTCTACCTGGTTAGTCTTTTGACCTTGTTAAAACCTGCGTCGTGGACGGTCCAGGTCGTAAGTTCAAATGCCATACCTTCGTGCTACCCCAGCGGCACCCAAGTCGGCAGTATATGCTCGCTATCGATGCCGCGCGTGCGTCAGGGTTTCGTGATTCTCTATATTTCTTCCGGCGCAATCCGCTCGCGCTCAAGCTCTCCGCTACGCAGCCTGAAAAGGAGTTCCTCATCTCCGCAGGGAAGCTCGGTGCACACTTGAAAACGCGCAGCGTCACCCTCGTCACCGCACGCAGTGCATATAAACTCCATGGTGCTAAGATGATTCTGGGTACGCTCTTATTCTCATACAACGAAACCCATACAAAATTTGTTATCTTTGACTATAGATGGCCGCTGGGTCACAGACGACTACTACGAATCGAAATCTCTCGCCGAGATCACAGAAAAAGGACTTAAGCCAGGCGACCTGGTCGGCGAGCTTCCCGACCCATTGGGTGCCTCATCTCAAACCGCGCCTTCAGGCCAGCAGCCCGCCACCTCTACATCATCAGGTATATATAGAGCGGGAGGACCTACAACCATTTTCGGGAGCACTGGTTGGGGACCGTTTAGTGATGGACCACACAGCGCAGTGCGCAAATCGATCCTCACACGGGAGGGGCTCACGGAAGAGAACTGGATGTCGGAGGCTGCGAGGCGTGTCGGAGATGCTGGTGAGGAATGGGCGCGGATGAGAAGGGAGGCAAGGGTTGCGTGTGGTGGGATCCTTGGGGACGGACTTGACAAGGGGAAGGGGAAGGAAGTGCAAGTGACTGAAGCAGAGGAGAAGCGAGGGGCGACTGAGGAGCTGGAGGGCGCGGAGAGGAAGAGAGCGAGAGTTGAAGAATCACAATATCCTCTTGGCGTGTATGAGCCACACACAGGACTGGTCCATTGTTTGTATATCTCTATTGCTGTTTTTCCCCATGTTTTTATTTTATTTTCTCTAGATCGTGCAGACACGCAACCTACCCGCTGTCGCTGGGAACAAGTTGGACAGCGGAAGATGCTTCGGGGAACGAAGGCAGGGAACGGCGCTTGGGCGCTTGCATGGGTCGATACACATATCCAACTGCCCACGCCGGAAGAGGCAAATCCATATGCACGAACGAGAGCAGAGATTTTGGAGGCAGTGGGTGAGATGTGTTAGGAGAACAATGATCGATCAAATCTTGTCTCCATTGTTTGCACAATGCAAAAGGTCATGCGGCGTCACCTGATGAAGTTCAGTTATATCCAGGGGTCCGTATTTTACCAAGCTTGGATTGATTGTGTAACGAAGACAAGGTGGCTACGCATGTAGGGCCATTATCTATCCTTACTCAAGGCTTGAAAGCTTAAGCTTAACTCAGATACTCGATACTATTGGGAGTGTCTGATAGGGAATTTGTGAACCTCAAGTCTACCATCATGCATATGGCTCGTCCTAGTAACAAATCTGACTCGTTGCCTCCAATTCACTCATGGCCAAGTAGTCTCTGGTTGCTAACTGTTGAGTCTCCCCAGGGTGCTTTACGTTAATTGCGGTGGTTACACATGACTTTATATTCTGATACAACGAAAACCTTTTCAGCATATAGGACGATATTAATTTTGCGACTCAGTCGGAGTCAGTCCTCTGATGCGCCGCTTCGCCACTTTATTTATACCAAGGTTGGTAACCCTCGACTTGAACGAATCTAACGGTAGCCGCCACTGCCAACTACACATGTGGGTGGCATGACTCATGTCAGGTTCAGGGACGAAAGACTCTGTGTTGTGCCGTGCCTGGACTCTGTTGGCACCTACTTATTTTGGGTCGTTATCCTTTTCGAACATCATGGTATGTACGTACTTATTGACGAAATTCTCGCAATGCTACTAACACAACCGTGATCCGGTGTCTCAACAAATGCTTGCAAAAATTCCATGCCGTTGTCTTCAAGTTCGACGGCATCGGTACATCAATCAAGGAAAGTTAAGTAGGTCAGATCTACGGTGCTGAATTGAACATATTCTTTCCCCTACTAGTACTAGGTGCACACTCACGCTCGTCCGTCTTATGACCATGCTGACCTCCGTTTCAAACCGCTTTCATAATGATGGTAACAATTTCTGGATGTTGCCGTAGCTCAACGAAAATAAGCACAACACCCAGACCTGCATCGCCTTTGGAGTGAGCGCCGTGAGCTTCAAGTTAGTATTGATTATTTTTTTTACCTCACGTCAATGATAGACGCTGAGAATGTTCTTTATAATCAGTGGCGACCCTTTTCATTGTTCCACCCCTTCCTGCGTGCCCTTCGCCCAATATCATCCGTCTGGTGGTGAGTTTCCCCTTTGACTGCACAATTCTAAGTCAATGGTTTGGAATTAACCATACGACAAGGCGAACAATGCGACTGCTACATACCAAGAACCTAAAGTTAGAAACACCCACGGGTGTGCGACCTTATGCCATCTTATCTCACCGATGGCTCGCAGACCATGAAGAAATATCTTTTCAAGACTTGCAACACACGCAAGTTTCTCCTAGCGAAGGCTCTAATCATGCCGTATGTCATTTCGTTCGAGCTTCTGCTTGCTGACATTTACCATCAATTCACTTCAAGGAACCCATTTTCCCTTCCAACGTTCAAGGCAAACAGGGCTTCGTGAAATTCAAAAGAGCGTGCGAGCATGCCTTCCGAGCTCGTCTCGACTATATCTGGATTGACACTTGCTGCATTGACAAAACCAGCAGTGCCGAGTTATCGGAAGCGATCAATTCCATGTATGCATGGTATAGGGACTCCGCTGTGTGCTACGTTTACTTGCACGATGTCGGTAGCTATGAGGACCCCCAATTCGGTTTCGAAAACGCTGAGTGGTTCCAAAGAGGATGGACCTTACAAGAGCTAATCGCTCCAGATAATGTATATTTCTTCAACAAGTACTGGACGAGAATCGGGAGCAAGGCGACCTTTGCATCTATCCTGAATGAAATCACTCACATCCGCCAAGATATTCTGCTGGGTAACCATCACCAATGCGAATCCAGTATCGCGGAGAAGATGTCATGGGCTGCAGGACGAAAGACGCAGAGAATAGAAGACAGAGCTTATTCTCTGATGGGGTTATTTGGTATCCACATGCCCATCATTTACGGAGAAGGAGACAAAGCTTTCAAGCGCCTGCAGCTCGAGATCATGAAATCATCGGATGACCAAACCATTTTCGCCTGGCACGATTCACTGGCACATCCACATTCTGTCAGAAATCGCGGATTGTTGGCATCTGCACCTGACGTTTTCATGCGGGCTTCTCCGGTCGTCGCCATCGATCATTCCGATTTTATCAACATTCTTCCAGGAAGTCGCAGCCCCTTTCGCGAACTACCGCGCGGTTATTCCATTTTGAATGACGGCATTCACATCACTCTTCCTATGAAGCAAGTCGCAGATGGGTGGCTTGCCGTCCTGAGATGCAAAAAGCAAGGTCAGAAGCTTCCGTACGGGATCTACTTGAAAGAAAGATCTGGTTCCGATGATTTTCTACGGACTTCGCCCACCAAGCTTATACAACTCGAGTCCAGGGATCTCCAAGGCCTTGCTCCGCGTACAATACGTATTGCGGTCGACCATCACATACTACCAACTACTAAACGCCGACAATTTTTCACTTTTCAGTCTATAGGTCCTGTTTGGGAGTACTGCAGTTACATATGCCCTAAGCCGGGAGGCCATGGTGTGGGTCAGGGGAGTGGCTATCAAGATCTTTATCCCGACACTCGGATTGAGCTTTCAAATAATATGCAGTGTGGCTGCGTTTACTCACAGGGCCCGAGTGGCGAAGTAACGGTCCTTCTCATTGGGATCGAACATCACCGTCCTTGGGTACATCTCCTTGCATATCCTGACCTTCACCGATACGTCGACACTTCGCGACTTCGCCGTCGAAACATCTACGACGCCCCTCTTATGACTTCCCCTACTTCCTTGCAATCAGACAACCAAGCCGGTTTCATTTCTCCTCCTGCGCTATCTTCCCCTACTTCCTCCCAATCTAGCAGCCAAGCCAATCTCATTTCTCCTCCTGCGCGACCTTCCCCTACTTCCCCCCAATCTAATCCTAATTTTCCTTCTGCGTCTTCTCGTTCACTATCTCTCTCCTGTACTTCCACCGGGACCCACAATCCCAGATTTCCAAAGAGGAACTCCACCGCCCCTTATGCTGCGCAGCTGCGCGGTGGTGGCGCTGGGTGTCCTGTGTGTGCTATCATTCAAGCCTACTCTATCAATATGGATGACATCAAGACTCGCAGGGTTGATTTCGTGAATGAGATGATGCCAGACAAGGTGATTGAAATTGATATTCGAAAGGGACAAGTTTGCGTCTCTGAGGCAACGCTTGATGTTGACTATGTTATAACGATAGCTGTATCTGTCCCCGAGTCAGAATTTTGATTAGTGCTGAATTTTATCTAGAGTACAAGTAATACGTATACTGATACCCCCGGGTATCAACGCACGAAATTCCAGTACTTACACTAACGAGATTTGTACGGTATTGACATAGCCCATGTGCCTCGATTATAAAGGATTCCGTTATTTTAAACAGCAAGAGTGGTTCCTGTGGGCCAGTACCATTGGTCGGGCCTAAAAACAGATCACAGCCTTGACCAAGGAACCACAGGACCCTCGATATCAGTGGCTCTTTAACGTCAAAGCCTTGTGTAGGTCCCGAGGAAGTGCCACACTGACTCGATCGAGGCAGACCCCACTAGTTCATGAGCCTCGGCGCCCGGGTATTTGGGGGTCCCCGAGGCTGAAGTTTCGTGCACCTGGTACCCCATCTCAAACCGGTGCTGAGTGTCCATATATATGATGGTCGCTCAGGGTCCTCCTGGCCATACAAGAAACACATAAAAGCAAGAACACTGGCCGTTTCCCTTCCTACAAGAATATCATGCCCCTTCAATCGCCTCCCATTTTCTTCACTAGCGCCTCTGATTCCTCTCGATTATCATGGTCACATTTTAACCTGGATAGCGCGTCCGCAGTGTCCATTTTTTTCGGAGGCAAAGCAGCCGTATCTGCATTTGCATTACAACCGCTGTATGGTCGTATATGGCATGGGTGGTACAACGCACCTGGATGCCATGCAATTGTGTGGGAGTTGGTTAGAACATTGTTGCAGGGTCCCTTCTCATCGTATTCAGAGAGACTCGCGCTTTCCCTGGGCCTAGATGGCAAGGAAGGACCGAAATACATTGCATCGCGGTCAGGAACGGTCATGCAGCACACTCGCCATCTCGCCTACGTGCTTAGCAGCTGGAGGGGCCAGGAGTGCAAGCCAGTGGTCGTGGGTCAGAGGATCAGCCCGACGCCGATGCAATTGATGATCGTGGACTTCAAGAAGAAGGTGCTGACGGGAAATGACACGCTACCCCCAAGAAGCTCTCGCCACTCTTTATTGCCCATGATCGCCAGCGCCGCTAGCATCGCAGCTTGCGCCATTTGTGCTAGTGTTGAGGATTGGTTATCCTTCAAGATGATTCTGCTTGGGATAATCTCCTCTGGAATCACTTCTTCCATCATGTCCACTGGGAATATAACCCTTGAACGGCTCAAACCGGCACATGGAGTTCCACGCGGAGACGGCATGCTACTATCGGATACTCGTATCGTAATATTGAGGGGCAACGAGGAGGATGTTAACGCTGTGACCAAGGGGAAACTGCGACTGGAGCTCAAAGGAGGGGGTTACACCGTCCTTCTCTGCGCGTTCATAGCGATGTTGCAAGTTACCCTACAGCTCGCCTTCATGCCTTTCGGATCGCTACCAGGACAACTCATGTTCCTGTTATCACTACTAGTGTCTGGGGCATGCAACCTATATCTCTCAGCAAAGGAAGATGAAGTGCAATCAAGTGCCCTCATCACCCTACTGAATACTCCGGAGGTGAAAACGTACCAAGCCAGTTCTAGAGCAACCGCTGCCGTTCTGGCATGCTTAGCGCTCTGTTGGGAGTCTAGCACACCACCTACGCAAGTCCTCCAGGAGATTGTCCCCATCAAACCAAAAGCGTGGAAGGCCTGGTCTGAGTTTGTCGTGGAGAATATCAGGGAGAAGAGGACTCAATTCGTGTGGGGGGAGAACGAGTCAACGGACTGTCTAGATGAACGAGAAAATAAGCTTCTACTCGAGCTCATCGATGACGCTCATGCAGCGCACGACCAGTATATTAAGGATCACACTATCACATAGCCGCTATACCGGTATCTGCGCCATGTACATAATGCTTAAATCTGCACAAAGCAAATCTTATTAATTTACAAACAAATATGCAAAATTTCTCGTTCAGACCTTCTGCTCGTGCGCATACACTGGTTTCTTCCGCCGGGCTTGTGGGTCTGATGGTTGTGTATGTTCGAAGAGAATAAAAACGTGCTTATCATAGGAACAAAAGGTTATGTAATACGCGTAGAGTGTTTGAAACGACGGCTTGTTTCCAACCTCCTTGTGCGCAGACCCGCCTGTAATCTTGGAACAATTCAAGCCAATGGTCACTCAATACTGCGAGTCGTCGTGCCAGCCTGGCAAAATGTGTGAAGAGCCATCGCGGAGGCATCCTCAGTCTATCATGATGCCAGTGTGCAGCACGCCAGAGTTCCTTCACTGCTAATGATCTCGTCAGATTTCAGACATAAGAGTGAGTCGATCAGCACGTCCTTTCATCTCTGTACGTGCGAGGCTGTAGCCACTGAATTACTTGCACTTTCAAACGAAAGACTGCAGGTGCCATGAGAACTTCAAGTTTGAAAGCAGTCATCTCGGCACTGACGGGGATGACATCTGACATCTGAAAACAGGAGCACCTACTTGACATCTACATGAATTTTCAAAAGGTGCAACTGCGTCTCTGATGAAATCAATTTTCGGTGCGCTCTCACGAATCAGCAGCAACATCTGAGTGTCTTTCTTTGGTATCCAACCCTTTCACTTCGTATCTCTTCCAGTCTTGCGAGAATCGCATCGGAGATGTTCCAAGAAGGACGGGCCCGTTGTCGCACTGGTATGTCCGTGAAATGCAGGAGTAAAAAACTCGTGCTGTTTGTTATGGTTGCACTTGCAATACACGACGCGTTTGAGCTTACATTGTAGGGAAAGACGAGTAGACACGAACAATATCTGCCATGCTGCCACGTCGATACGACTCCCCACCGAAATGAAAAACCCAAATCTAGGCGTTCTGTGCACAGTGGGTACCAAGGATAGGATGGAGCGCAGATATGACACAACACTAGCACTTCTCGGCCCAACTAGCAAAAGATTATGTCCCAGGCTTGTGCGACGGCTGTAGTACAGGAATCTTCCTCACTCCTGTGCACCTCTTCTCATCTTTGATGATCTTTCCTTTGGGGGTATGAGGATATGCCAGTGGAGCACTGGAGCAGGACACTCAGTGTTCCAAAAACCAGTCACGATAAGCTTCAAGTCAAGTGTTCCCTGCAGTCGAACTTCACGTGCAACGATTATTTGTCAAGTTGAGCTCGTTGATGACGCTCATGAAGTACGACCAGTATATTAGAATTCACAATACATTTATTACATTGTTGTACCTGCGCCATGTCCATATGCCCCTTACCTTTCACAAAGCAACGCAAAGGTTGCTTTCTGTCGGTCTTCAATATTTTAATAGTATTGCCCGTTCTTAATTTGACGTTCCTGTTGTGACTTCATACAGACCATCCCCGGGACGCCATCCAAGCACCTCACTCCAGAACTCCAAGATTGGCTGCCATTCCTCCCTTAAGCTTGCGCGTGGCATACCCTCACCCGCACGCTCCACATCCTTTACTCGAGAGAAACCCTTCCTGAATGCAACTAGCGCCTCATTCTTGAGCTCACGTGGGCGGCGAAACACAAGAACAGGCGTCTCGCATGGTTTCGAGAGCGTTGGGTATGAGAGCAGCGGGCCAGAAATGGTGACGAGCGAACCAAAAGGCCGCATGGGGGTCTCTTTGTTGGTCATACGCGACTGTGATGAAAGTTCTAGCTCGCGACGCCACCATTGCAGACATGCTTCGGCTGCAACACTTCCGCCTTGCGCGAATCCGAACAAGTGTATGCGATGTGGAGGCCATCCACATTCACCCATTAGATGGCCGAAGATATGCTGCAGAAGATTGAGTGCAGGGCTGGGGTCTGGTCGTTCGATGAGGTCACCGAGCTGGTCGAAGGAAGGATACCACTGAAAAGCCTGTTCGTACAGGAAGGGGACACTAGTACATTGTCAAGCTCGATAAACATACGATCGAAATGTTTGAACAGACACGTACAGATCGGGTGCGCGGAGCGCGAGGGTGGCTGTTTGCGGGAGCTTGAGTGATCTCCCAAGGCGCGCAAAGGGGACATTGGTGTCACCTGTTCATCGATGACTCGGTTCGGATTAGTTGCCCTAGTCAAGTGGTTCGACGCCACGCTCACCAAGCCCGTGGAGGAGAATAAGGAGGTTCTCGTCCGTTCCGTCGTCACTAGGGGAGTAGGAGAATTGCGTGGGGATGGCAGAGGCCTGTGGAACAGGTTTTACGCGCAGAGAAGTGACGGATGCCTCTGCGAGGACGTGGATGTCTGGGGAATTCATTCAAGAAGAGTTTCTTCTGATTGTTACTCTGAACCACTAGTACTGTCACTTATCAATATCTATCTTATCTGATCTTGACACGTGCTAATCTACTGCATGAAAGTGCCTCCGGTCCATCAGACGAGCTCACGCCCGTTGTGCCTTCGGCACAAATCGAAGGAGCGCTACGCGCTCCTTCAGGGGAGGAAAATGAGTGTTGTTCCTTCGTCACAGGAAGCCAAGGAGGGCGTAGCCCTCCTTTGGCTTCCTGGCCTCAGGCTGCATCCTAATAAATTGTGCATTTTGAATAATTTTGAAAATACATTTATGAGCAGTTCAAAAAAAACTAAAAGTACAATCTACCACCACATAAAGTACATAGTACATAGTAAGATCAGTCAGTTCTACATTCTTTGAGCAGGATTCTGACAAAATTACAAAATATATAACAGTATCATTGAATGTATTTATTTTCCCATCTTTGCCTGTCGGAAAAAAGTTCCCAGGGTTTTAAGGCCTTGCAAGACATTTTATAATGCTCTATTTGGAGGGTGTCCTTATAAGGGCTTTTAAACAGGTAAGATAATATTTTAATGCCCATTAAAAGGCACTTATAAGGGCCCTTTTGATGACCTTATGTTGAGTTTTGCCTCGCTGTGCCTCAGAACGGCCCGTTAAAATGCCTTGTAAGGCCCTCTTAAGGTGCTGAGCTGAACTTGTAATCCAGCAGTATTACAATGGTACCTAACTTTTTTCCAACACCTACCCATTGTTACGTCGACTTGAGGTCGGCGTGTGCGAACTAGGATAGGTCTTCTCAGCGACGAGTCGAGTGACTCTACTGAAGCTGAGCGTGGTCTGACTCTGACGGAATGTCAAAGGTTCCTCCGGCGATCTCGGTAAGACGGCGCTCGTCGAGATGCAGGGCTAGCGGATACGTGCAGAGTTGTACGGGGACGACTCTGAAGTGCGGTCTCACACAAGGAAGCTTGTTTAGAGCTAAGATGAGCAAGTTCTTGGTAGAACCTAGTAGATTAAAGTGAAGTTCAATCTACAACAATGTGCCTACTTATACATAAGGTATGTAGGTGTTCAAGCTCAGTCTGTAATCTATAGTATATCGTATATCTAAGATAACCAGACATGAGGTTAGATAAAGTACATGAGGCTTAACCTCTGATCATACATGCGGCGCCAAGGGCAGCTGCGCATAGGTACAGGAGACGCCAAGCGCTCCGGGTCTTTATACATGAGGCGCCTAGGGCGCTCCGGATCTTCATGAAGCGACATGCTGTATACATGCGCTGATCTAGGGTGTCCATGAGGCGTACAGCCTCCATGGAACAGGTACAAGGCCGTCTAGGCCAGGGGCGGGGTCATAGCATCAGGCGGGGTCATAGCGCCATGAGGCGGGGTCATAGCGGTCCAGACCGCTGTCTTTCTAGGCGCAGGCGGCGCACCGCCGCGCGGGGAGTCTAGCAGAGCGGGGGCAGGTGTAGGGAGAGCTGGGGCTCTAGTAGGTGTTACAGATCCCTGTAACACCCATCTCCCAATTGTCTCCTACATCCTCCTGTCTCCTGTCTCCTGTCTCCTGTCTCCTGTCTCCTGTCTCCCGTCTCCCGTCTCCCGTCTCCCCATTTTCCCATTCCCCCATTTTCCCATTTTCCTGTCTCCAATTTTCAAGTCTCTACATTGTCTTTTGCTCCCTTTTTGATTTTTCACAACTGTTTTCTGTCGTTTTTTCCTGATCTCTTTTATCTCCTTCACCACATATTTGTTGTTCCATTTTAAGTTTTATTATTTACTGTATGTATGTACCATAAACAATTACAGGAAGGAAAACACTTGAATTTTGTAAATGTAGTACTTGTAGTGTGCTACTCTAATGGGCAACGGAAATCGAGTCGGCGCTCGAAAACACGTGACAAAGCCACGCGAGTTTCCAAAAAGAGGTTTAAGCGAGCTAAGCGCTCCCATGTGGCCTTTAGCGAAATACGCGAAAGCCACGCGAGCACCCGTGCGTTTCCGAAACGGTCGTACTTTACTTCTTAGATAAAAACAAGTTCCTCGTTATTACTGTGGGAGCCTACATGAATCATATGGCTACAATGTGTTTAGAACGACACCATCACCGGTTTTTGTGGCTCTTCCCATTTGAATTTGAATGGACCACTTGGCGACGAGCCGTTGCATTCACTTGTGAAGGTTCCACAGAAGCAGATTAGACCCAGTAGTCAGCAATTCATATACATATCAACATACTTTTCAGATGCAAGTGCAGCCTCAGGAGACAAAATCGTAGGGTAGTGCTGCTTTAACATTCTTTCGTGGAGTTTGGTCAGGATGTCAGCCCCATGCGGGAGGCCAGCGCTAGCAATCCTTTGAATAAGCATCGGAAAGTCCTTCACGATAGTGGGAGTAACAATGTTCTGGAATAAGATCTCGATTTCCATCTCAAGAATGGCAGGAAACCTTCAAAAGACATGTTAACATCCCGATGGTAGCACGCATGCGTGACTGACTAACCTGGATGTTAGAGACGAAGAAAGTTCCCGTAGGACGTTGTGCTCCGTTAGACTAGAGCGTATCGCAGCAAGCGCTTTTGCCTGCAATTTATCGTGTTTGATCTAGTACAATCCCCAGTATGAGTCCACATAGAGAATATCAAAGGTTACACGAGACACACCTTACATGCTAGGCGATACATAGACTTCGGTGAGCATGGTGGGGCCCCGCCGAGGCTGTGATGTCTTGCTGACTTGCTTTGCGATCGCAAAGGTGCGAAAACAATCTCGTCAGTATACAGATAGTCTAATAAAGCCCGCCAGCTATGCAAAATTAATGAGTAACAGAACCTAGTGCGAGGCTAGTGAGCCGCACGTATTGAATGCCGTATCCATTACCAATACTCTGCGGGTTGGAATGATACGTTGCGCCCCTTTGGTAGTAGAGTCCTTGATTGATGCGGTTCGAGATACTCGTTCCGCAGAGACTTCCGCACACCTTTCATCTTCAAAACATCAAGTTAAGGTGGGTATACTGTGCCAGGATGGGTGGAGCCACTCACTGTCTTGTACATCTTCGTCAGTCTCTTCCTCCTCTTCATCGAGGTCACTATCGGATGCATAGCCATATTCATCGAGAGAGATCCCTCCCTCACAGGTGTGATAGTCTTGAAATTCGACCACAGCAGAATCATTGAACGGATTTTCGGAATGTACTGGAAGTGTCTCCTGAACTTTACTGAGTTGGTAACATAATTCTGAAACGGCTTACAGCTACTGAAGTACTCTGAACCGGTGGTGAGGGCTTCGTCATCGGCAAACAATGCTTGAAGGTTGGTAACGTTGCCCTCGCGCTTCGATCGAACGGAGAATAGGTAAAATTGGGTATCAATAAGTTCCCCGATAAGCGACTTCCTCAGCAGAGCATTAATCCTCGCCTGGTTGCCCGACATTGTAGAGGAACAGTACAAGCTCGAAGGGAAATGGTCACCAGGAGATAGAATTCTCAAGAGACTTCGATAATATTGAGGATGCCGTATTTAGGTGTCCAGCGTAATACTTGTGATGAAAAACAGGTGAACCGAACAACGGTCGGACCGAGAGTGTCGTGTTATATGCAAATGATGAAGGACAAAAGGGAAGGACTGAGAAATGAATGGAACTTCTGTGCATACATAGCAGGACAAAGGATGAAAGACAAGTTCTGCATTTGGGCGTTGCAAGGTGTTGAAATCTAAATTAAGAATTTCCGACGGGACGTTCGACAAAACCTTTGTTGCGCGAGACTATCAAGTCCTATGACCCACCATGGCACCTCGTGATATAGCTGTTATCATCACAGGCGCCCTGTGTATCACTGATTGTGTCAATATGAACACATGGTCGTTGACTATACTTATATCCTTTCAATGATATAAGTACAAGTGATCTATCCCCACAATCAGCAGAACCACGCTTACAATCAAGATGGCCACACCTATCGACTATGGCAATTTGGAGTTTACTAGACCCGCCAAGCAGATCAAGGCCGTCAACTTGCCAGCGGTGCCGCAGCGCATTTTCGATGGTATGAAGCAGTATGAAGATGCTGCTCGAGGTGTGTGGTTGTTAAATTCTTGAAAGTGCACTGTGATATATCTGGTTCGCAAGGCTTTAGTACCTCAGGCTTTGAGCAGACAACCAAGGATGCCAATGGCAAAGAAGTTCCAGGAGGCATCATTGTTGCGCACAGACCTGCAGACGCCCAAGTCACTCAGCTGTATCGCATGCCAACAGATCCTTCCAGTACCGAGCTGAACCGGCTCACGTACTTTGATATTGGTTCTGGCAGGACGATATCGGCGTTCCGCGGAATTCTGGAGGATGACTGGCGAGGTGTACGCAGGCGTGGAGGAGCCATCATGGTGATGGATCTCAACGGAAATGAACATTTTCAGCTATGGCACGTAGCCACGTACAGCTCAAGATCCTATCTGACTAAAATCGCAGGCGTTACTGGGAGGATTCTCTTGCTGACCAAGTTCTTCCGAAAGTACAAGGAGAACTAGATAACGCGCCTGGTCTGGGACGCATCGAGAGACTGACTCACGATGACTATAGATACGGCTCAATTGTTATATCTCAGGCAAATAAGTATGTCTGTCTTCGTTCATTCAGTTCATATCTGATCGAATTTCGCGGGACAGCTTTATGGCCTTTGCGTCGAACAAGGAAAACAACAAGGACACCCTAGTATATGTTACCAGGCTCATAGATTCCAATACGGGCGCAAAGGCAGACGCCTCTCCATTCACTCTGCCCTCACGTTTAGTCGCACCAAGCACTGGGGAAGGGACGACCATGTACAGCCCGCGGAGCTTTTCCCTTGACGACAAGTATTTGTTGATCACAAGACAATATGGCTCGAGTTACAATGCCCTCTATGTTGTCGACATCTCTGGAGAACAGGCATTACCTCCTAAGCTAATCGAGTTCCCAGGAGCGACAGAGAAACCAGAAGATACTGCGTTCGGCGATGTTGCATTCTCCCACAACGTTAATCTACCCCACTTGATCTACTGCACCACAAATGGCTATGGTGATTTTACCTCGATCGTCGCTTACGATCTTGACACGGCATCGGTCACCCACATCACTACTTCGGGTGCCGCAATTCAAGCCATACGACCAATTTTATGGGAAATAGAGGACCTCAAAGTTACTAGCGACAATATTGTATTTACCGTCAATGTCGAGGGATGGACATCCCTCTTTTTTATGCCTCTATCTGGGTCTTACAAGAACACGGTGATCGAGGTGAAGGTTACCTGGGAAAGGGGTTGGCTCACCTTCCAAACGAATGATCTCAATGACAAGCCGTACGAATTAACGCTGCATCTCACATCATACCACTCCAGAGGGCGTATCACTTACTTGGATCTTCTACCATTGTTGAACAATGTCAAGAAAGATGAAAATGGTAACGCCTACGTGGTCGCTTCTGTCTTACCATATGCACAGGCAGCGCCACCTGCAGTGGCACATGAAGTTCCGCCTACGCTCATCAGATATAAGAGCTTCGATGACTTGGAAGTCCCTGCTATCTATTACCACCCGGTCGGTCAATCTGTGACTCCGGTCATCATCCACATTCATGGTGGCCCGGAATCTCAGGCTACTGCCAATTACCGCACGTTGGTCATGATTTTTACTTATCGCAAATTGTAGGCTGACAGACTTCCACAGACCTACGCATAGTTACCTGTTGAACGAGCTGAAAATTGCTGTTATCTACCCTAATGTGCGCGGAAGTTCAGGATATGGCAAGAAGTACATGGCCGCGGATGATGTGTTGAAACGCGAAGATTCTGTCAAGTACAGTACATATACACCTTTTCGGTGACAGATGACTCATGTTTGCTCAGGGATATTGGAGCGTTACTTGACCACATCGCATCCAACATGCAAAATGAATTGGATTCATCCCGCATTGCTGTAGCAGGCGGATCCTGTGAGTAGCCTTTTCGTGATTCGTACCAAAAAATTAACCCTCACCGTTTGAAGATGGTGGATATATGTCCTTGGTACGATATCTCTCTCTTCTTAACAGGCACCTCGTTCTCACGTCTAGGCACTGCATGTAGGCGACTCTGACACATTACTCCTCAAAGCTCGTCTGCGGCATTGAAAACTTTGGAATCGTGCACTGGCCTTCGTTCCTGGAGAATACTGCGGATGTCCGGCGAGCAGCACGCAGACGCGAGTATGGCGATGAGACCATCCCTGAAATCAGAGAGTTCCTGGACAGGATCTCGCCGATCAACAACACTTCGAAGATCACGGTACCCCTCCTGATCACCCATGGCGAGAATGATAGTCGAGTGACTGTACACGAAGCTGTTAGCATGTACAAAACTGTGTCGAAGAATGTGCATACCGAGCTCGTCATCTGCGAGATGGAGGGGCATGGTATGTCTTTTCGTATATGTCGTGTGACGATACTAATTGGTGATGGTCTTTTGTAGGATACAAACAGAAGAGTGTGATCGAGTTTACTAATGCTGCTGATATCTTATTCTTGGAAAGATACCTCCTTGCTCAGTCAAATTTGTAACGCTCGAATACTTGCATGTTCTATGTTCTAACATACCAATAAGGAAGATATCATTAGTTGTACGAACAAGACTTAAGAATGACTTCGCAGACGACGAAACTGAGGAGTTGTACCTTTACAGGCTCGACCAGGTTTGCGACCAAAGATACTGGGTGAGCAGTCTAGGACTGATTGCGACCGTGAAGACCGAGAAGTAGGTGAGCTACATGATATCCCTGAGATAGCGCTTGAGTTCAACCCTTCCAGCGACGAAACGTGATGCAGGCTGCTAGTGGAAGGGGAGAAAGGTCGGGAGCGCCGTCGAGACTCCGACTCACGTTGATTTTTTGGCCGATAGGATGATTCTAGCGATGACTTACTTTATTCCCGCAGATAACATTGAGCCGTCAGCAAATTGCAAAACGTGGCATCCATGAGGCGCGCCCGTTTGTAATAATGTATTATGGGGACAGATGAAGAGTGCGAGTGTAAATATCTAGTTCTTCCGGCGGAATGAGCAACCTACAAAAGTTTAATGCATTACAAAACATCGTAATCGGATAACATACCCTCGGTCAGTCTTGCCTTACCACCCGTAGGTTGGCACAAAACACTCGCACATGAGCCACAAAGAACTACTGATTGCGCATGAGAGAATACAGTGGTAATAGCAAAGCACCCTAAAAAATAACCGGGTGAGATTAGTGGTGTCGGGCCTGGTGCGACGGGACGCACCTGGGCACTTTACGTCCATGAAATAAGAGTTGGGGGATTGTACAAGACGCTTGAGTTTGTGCTGTTTGCGTTCATGTTCTGCAGAGGGGTTCAATAGATCGACGGCGAGAGTCTAAACAAAATTTTGTGAGGATTTCGGACAAGCGGAACGAACGTGCAGCGGACCATTTTGATGAGCTTTTGGTGTTTTCGTTTGTCAAAGTTGTTGAATAGCTCGAGCAATACGCTGGCCCAAATGATGGAAAAGTTGATGATATGCCTAGTAGGGACTTAAGGTTTGAGCGGAGATTGAACAAGCCTTCGGGATTACCCGCTATAAACGAACGATCCGGCTTCCGCTCTAGCATCGATATTCTTCCGTACCCGAGCTCGAACAAGGACCAAGGGGATGATGCGATGATATTCCAGATAAAACAATAACACTCAGGCTATGCATCGGGATTTCAAGACGTAAACCTATATTGTGCATCTTCTTGTGTCATCAGAACGAACTCACATGTTCTTTTTGTTCTTGCTTCGTGACCGTTTATGGACGATGCTCTGCTGGCAGCGTGGCCTTTAATTTTAAGCTTGCACCTGGAACGCATATAAAGGTCAGTGGACAAGCAGCCTTCCATATGTACTATCCTTCCGGGTTTTGACAACCCAATTACTAACAGCTAGGTTCGTTAAGTATCTGTCGACTTCCGTTTCTTCTTCCGCTAACCTGCTTCATGTCCCCCTTCTTCATCTAGTCTGTTAAGTGAGCCAGCTTTCTTTCTTTCTGAGAGTCTCGTTTGACATCAATATCAATTCAGACATCTCGGTCTTCTGTTCACATTCAATCTCATTGTCTGAATCAGAACTCAGTACTACTGAGACTATCATATTCTCACGTTTCCTTTCAGTGTGCATCACCTGCATCTATCATCGCAGGACGATTTCTGTTATTACCACCTAATCGATCTCTCCAATCGCTTCCCCGTCATTGACTGTTATTATGACCGCCACATCCAGCCTTTCCATCACTCTTGCTCAAGCTATCGCTTATCTCACTCGACCTCTTACCGTTACGCACCCTACTACGACCACCAACAAGCTTCAGTCTGCGCTTGAGGCGAACTTGACTGCACTGTTCGCCCCGACATGGACTCCCAATGAACCACTTCGTGGTTCCAGCCAGCGTTGCCTCACCCTCTCCCCTAATTGCCTCCCTCCACGTGCCATATATACCGCATGCCTTGCATCCAATGTTCAGTGGTTCGACTGGATTGCATCCTTGGGCGGACGTGAGTTCGACTTTCGTGTCGATCCAGGATGCATCTCTGTACAGTTCGAGAAGGGTACCAAACTCATTACGATCTGGTCGGAGGTACCGATCGCTAAGGCTGTGTCCGTCGCGCGTCATACGCCTTTTAGCCAGCTGCCACTCAACAACTCAAGGTCTAAGACATTTGCCCAGCAGCTCTGGGAATATGATCGCACAGAGGATGAAGAACTTTTCGCCTTGCTTGCTGACGAAATCAGTGCACCCACTTGGATGATCCCTGTCGTTGACCGTTTCCCTACTCATGCACGTTCTAAATCGTCCCTCTCTACTATATCTACCGATCTGTGCTCCAGCCATTGCTCGTCTGACTCCTGTTTCTCTATCACGGCTGCCTCTACTTCGTCGCCTAAGAAGAGTAACAAGCAGCTATCCCAACTTACCCACCACGAGAAGACAAGGCAGCTTCGTGTCTTTGTAGACACCTCCAAGACTGAAATTACCCCCTACGATGGTGGCAAGACCACTGTCCTCACCGGCGGTGTGATGCTGGGAGCTGCACCTCCCAAGGGCAAGAGCGGCCCGTCTACTTCTGCTCGGCGCCACGCATAAACAGCTATGCTTCCCTTTATCACTCGGCCCACGAACTTCCCTACGGGATCGCACTACACATTTTCCTATACGCCCATTTACGCCCCGCGCACTCCACGAAAGACAATCCCACTACCCACTACCATACGATGCCATTTAACGTCTACTATACCATCTGTACTGCATCCATTACTTTGTTTTCGTAACCTTGATTTAACACAGGGTGTAGCCTTTTAATTTTCAGATCATTTTTTGGACTTGGACATGGCTGAATTTATCATGGCACTTTCATTCACTATCGATTTACTGTGTTAGCTCGTCGTCTTCGAGAAGCCTGACCATATGCATGAACATGTGTCATGCATACGGGATAACCCGTAGTATGCAAGTGGGTTTTCTGCGTACGATGCTATAAGTACATGAGAACGTCATCAGGATCCTCAAAAATCCATGCATCATAATCATTTCAGCTGTATAATAGCGCGTTTCAAACTATAGCTATGAGCCTCAGCTAGACGCATTGTAAATGTCTCGAGGCGGACAGTTCCCGGATCCCGGCCCTGGTGCGCCTCCGACGTTTTTAGCGTAAAGGATTTGTTTTGGGCCCAAAAGGTGATTATCATAACCAACTGCAAATCACAACATCATGGCAAGACCTCATGAAGAACTATACGAGTTGTGCGATTGCCTCCGCTCTGTTAGCGTTGAGCTTGATTCATACGAGCCTGAATCTCAACACTCGCCTATCATCGACTCATCAGGAGAAGAAATGGGTGAAGTAAAGACTCAGACCCGAGAAGTATTACCCGGGTCGCGGTTTCTACGAGAAGAGGTGAAGCGAGACCTGCAAGTTTTCCAGAAGGTGTGTCCAGGGATCTTTTTGTTCATTCAATGATTCTAATCGATGTGCAGTAGTTTCTTGATGACCCAGAATCGACATCTCTTCCTCCTCTCTCTACCAATGCACCATATCTCGTTGCAGTGTGGCGGGAACTACTTCAAGCTCGTGGAGCTGTTGCTATATACCGGACATTCCACACCACCGCTCATCCTCAGGCCTCCCGTAAGCCCAAGAATGGCTCAGCCAAAGGGCATAGCGTTAAGGGTCGATGTGGTCGCTGATAACGGGAGACGTTGGATCAGAGTCAATACGTGAGTTCATCCAACATTTCACCTAGAATAAATCTGGACGAATTTCCAGGATAAAGAACAGTCGCATTTTAATGGAGTTTCGCGAAATGGACTCGTATCTCACCAGCTCTGACGAGGACGACGGCGGTGGGCACTCTTCTCTGAAGAAAGAAAATCTGATACCCCAAGAGTTTGACAATTCCGTGCTGCGCACGGGTCGTGAACTTCTAGAGGCTGCAAGGGCAAACCCTCATAGTTCCAACGAAATTCCTTCGGTTACCATGCGTCTGACCCGACTGAATCCTTCACTCTCCGACGAACCCAGAATCGCATACACAATCGATTGTCTCCAGAGAATGGGCATAGACGTCCAATTAGGCGAAAGGCAGGGTATCGTGAAGGAGACGGACGACATTTCTGCGCCAGTTTTGGAGCCCACCACTCATATCAACCTTGATCTCTCAGCGTTGATAGCGCTCATCTCTGACACCACTCACTCTCATCTGCCTCGTGATCCAGAAGATGCCAACATACGATTCATCCCGCCGCAACGATACGTGGAATGGAAAAAGCAGCGAGTACAAATGCTTTCCAATTCTCCAGATGCAACAAGTACATGGGAGGACTCCGGAATCCACTCAAGAGTGTTGGCAGAGCAAGCCCAACAAGAGATGAAGAAGGGCCTCTTGCAAGATATGCACGACCGCTTGAGATGCATATCCCCTACTCTGCAAAATATTCCAATTTTGGACGACACAAGAGGCTCGCCAACGTTGTCTCCAGATCGTATTCAAGATCGCGGGCAGCAAGAGAACGTCAGCGTGCCGAAGTACTGCTCTCTTATTCCACTTGTTCTGAAACGACTACCATACCCACCCATAATCAATTCTGGGTGCATTCACGATACCCGTCTAATTTCATTCCATTGATACCTATCAGGCTGTACCCATCTCCAGAGCCTGATACTACTTCTCTCGAGTCCTTTCAGCCAAATCCTTCGTCACCTTTTATGACGTCCCTTGCATTGACCTGTCGGAATATACTATCCCAAGAAGACATCTCAAGACTTCGGGAATCACAGAGTCCACCTGGCCACTCAGCTGCACCTTACTTGAGCAACGACGAGGGTGACATCCCACCGGCAGCAGTTACTTTAGCAAACCCAAAGCTCACGGTCCACACGGTCCAAAGCATGCTTTGGGGAGCAACACTTGGATGGACGACATTGACCACAAATAGATCCAGTGTGAAAGTGCTCCTTAAAGAGATGAAACGATTCGCTGGAGGCGGAGTGTTGACCCACGAGCCCCCTAATGAAGATGAAGGTGACACCGCTCGCGTGTCCAAAGCCGCAATCTGGATCGTGAAACCACGGAGCTTAGCTGAAGGATCGCGATCGGACTACTGTAGCGAATGATATCAATGGGGAAAATGATGTAGCACAGGTTTCTATGAATAACGACACTGGCAGCGTCCGACTAATCGGAAGCAAAACCAAAACTACATGTACGGCCATAGACAACCTAGAGATCCGAGGTAAGTAGCCGAAAGTTCAAGAAACAATTTATGATAAAAGATAGCAAGATGAGTGCCAGATATAGTAGTAGGAAACAAGTCCCAGTAAAGCCATGCAATTGAGATATTCTCATACAACAAAGGGCCGAGCTGTCGGCGTCTCAGGTCGGGCTGTGAGCGGTGTAGTGGGCCGCGAGAACTCGGAAGCAGCTGTCTCAAAGGATGTCGTCGAACTTGAGCGCGAGTCACCCTGTCGTTGATATGAAGATAATAGTAGCGAGCGAGGTGATGATGGCACTTGATAATTTTTATTAGCTCCGGATGGGGAATATGGAGGTGATCCAGATGTGACAGAACGTGAGGTTGTTTGTCCAGCCTCATCCGCAGCAGCACTATCAAAGACAGGACTTCCTGTTGTCTCTCTCTCTAGTGTGCTAGTACTAGACGGGTTGCGAATATCGGCTGATAGTGACCCACTTGCTTGGTCTGGCAAACTCGATGTAATGACATCGAAGTCGGGCGGTGGTGCCATATTAGACCTTGATGCTGAAAATGCTACAGCGTCTGGACCGTATGGAACACCGAATCTTTCCAGTGCATTCCTGGAGGTGATGAGTTTAATTTGCTCAGGCGTCATGCCACCTTTTGGCGCCCGGAACTCCGAGCGCATAACAGTATGTGTGAGAGGTGCCGATATTGAGTTCAAAGAGATAGTCGACGGGGATGTCATAGGCGTGGAATGATCGTGGGGTCGGAGAGCTTTCAAAAGCGTCGAATTAGAGCTCGAGCGATTGCGTCCATGTCCACTAGTTGTTGATGCCACGGAGAGGGATGAAACGTTGCGAGTATGTTCAGGAGTGACAGCCCTGTTATGGATCGAAAGAGGCGGATATCGTGATGAGCCGCCAAAGGGTTTGAAGAGGAAGCTGAATCTAGAGCGCCGATCAGGGGCAGCATTATCGATGGAAGTCTCTGATGCAGGGGGCACATCAGGTAATGTGTGAACAGTGTCTTGACCTACAACCTCAAAGTACGGAGGCGCTTCTCCTCGTGGGTCTTCGGACGTTTGTGTAGTATGCAAGGGTAGGAGTTCAGAATGACTTCCTTGCGAGTGATGCAACGTGCCCAAGCTAGCAACGTCTATGCTTCGTCTCATTGACACGTCACCAGGAACGTTATATATAAGATTTGTGGCAGAGCCGTCCGCTTGTATGGTACCGTGTGACTCGAGGTCAAGACCACGATGTGTCCCTTCTGTTTCAGGGTGTTCCTCATCTTCTTCCAGTATTGGCATAGGATCGTGGTCGTCCTCCGTCTTCGGAGGTGCTCTGTAATTTTAATGGTGTCAAAAGAATGTGGGTGCTGCAGGCACGTAAGTATGCACACCTGAAGAGAACAAGCTCCTGATCGCCCGGTTCCAGCATGTAGGGTGGAAGCGATTTTGTGGATATCTGACTTGGAGTCCGTGCGGGCCTCCGGCGTCTTCCAGGGCGAGTTGAGGCAGCCTGACCAGCAGGTGTGCTCGCCACCGCGACTGCGCCGACTTCCCTGTTGGTGGCCCGCCTGACGCATCCAACCAGTGTCAACACGGCAACGACGACTGCAAGTATCAGTACGGGTATCTAGATATTTGGTTATTTGGTTTAAGCATGCCTTTGGCGTTGAGGCTCGACGGTGAACAGTACGCACCCATACGCTTGCAGAAATGCTGTTCCCGTCGCTTTCATTGTCATCTGATGCGCGTCGCAGCACCTCGCTTGTTGGTCTTGCAGATACAAATTTGGGGTATCGCACGGCTGAGAGAGTGAGCCAGAGGAGCGTGCGGAGACAAAACGGCGTTCGACTCGGAGCAGATGAGAACATACCGCGCTCAGGGAGGTTACTCATAGTGGTGTCGTGAAGAAATCGTTAAATTATGAATAGCATGCAGTGCGCAGCGCTTCTATGCTTGACGGTGCGGTTAGAGCGAAGGAGATTTAATGATAAATGAGGTGGTAGTAAGACAACTAAAACTTGCACTACTATACTCATGCCGAGGCTGTACCTAGCAGACAAGCGCCCGTGCAAGGTCCCACTGGCACCAGTGGTCTCCAATGATCTCGCACCGCCTACTAATTGATGATTACGCTCAATTCATACCCTAAAAAAAGAACACGTCTCAAGGGTAGTGGACAGGAATATTGTCTCTCCCACCGGAACTACCGTTGGATTGTCTCATAGTGACCTGCCAATAACGTACGTTCGTGACATAATTAGGATCGACTGTTCAACGTTCAACTTGGTCAGCCCATCGGTCATCTCGGCCACGCAGTAAGTGCACAGTCCGCGATCATATCAGGGAAAGTCACGGTTCATTAACATATTGTCAACATGCTCTTTACAGCCTGCATACTCACTTTATCGAAGTGCGACCCGACGGGCATGTACTAGGCTCTGAGATGCGAGATCTCTTCATGGTCACCATTGTTTCGCAACAATTTGGAGCTTTTGATGGAGCAAGCTGCGGCAATAAGTAGGGAGTGCGGGGTTGAGCCAATTGTTCCCCACTATTTTGGGCTTTCTCGTCTAGACTCTACGTGATGCAGAACGCCGCACAGCAAGTTATCAGGGACATCCACATGGTCTATCATTGGTCCCTGACCGCAGCAACGTGAATTCGATACTCGATTTGGCACGAGGCGAATTTTCTGTCACTTACTCTAATTCTTGCACGACTTATTCACGGTTTCCTTGAGTTAGCGTGGCATATGCA